TCTTCGAAAAGAGATGATGGAAAGCGTGGAAGATGGCAAAGAGTCATTGATAATGATGGAGAATATGGTTTGGAAGATGGCAAAGAGATGGCAATGATGGAAGATGGCAAAGAGGTGGCATGATGGAGAATATCTTGTTGGATTGAGGTTCTGTATTAGGATTTTTTATAATAAATTTTGTTTATGGTTCAAACGAAAGTTTCATCTTCACCAAGCTAATACTTTGCGCTTAAACGCTTAAACACACTCAACGATGCTTAAACGCATCCCTTCTAAAGCATTCAATTCTTCCAATCAAGCATTGCATTGAATCTAAGCATTCAATTCTTCCAACCAAAAATTCTTCCAACCAAAATTCTTCCAACGTTTCATCTGCACCAAGCTAATACTTTGTGCTTAAACGCATCCCTTCTAAAGCTTCTAATATCTGCGTAAACGCATCCCTTCTAAAGCATTCAATTCTTTTATTTTTCTATAAAATGAAGATTTCAGTGCGCTAGATTGAGTGAATTTAGAGATTTAACCATATAAAAAGCCTTAAATCTGACCTTTTTTTTTGTGTTTTTCATTTATTCTCTTTTTCATTGATTTCATTCCCATTTCCATTCCGATTTCCATTCCCATTTCATTCCGATTACCTTAAATCGACATTTTTCTAGATAAAACTAAGAGAAAATAGAAAATCTAGCTTTTTCTATTCTCAAATGATGCTATTTTCAAGTTCAAAATATTTATTGAACTAAAGGCCGTTGCTAAAGGCCACTAAAGGCCACTTTTTATGTATTTTAAGTGCTTCTAAGTACTTCTATGTACTTTTATGTACTTTTTAAGTACTTCTAAGTACTTTTTATGCATTTTAAGTGCTTCTAAGTACTTTTAGGTACTTTTAAGTACTTCTAGATACTCTTAAGTATTTTAAGTACTTCTAAGTACTTTTCATGTATTTTTAAGTACTTTTCATGTATTTTTAAGTACTTTTAAAGTACTTTTAAGTACTTCTATGTACTTTTATGTGCATTACGTAAGAAATTTGAAATTTGGAATCGTTTGGAGTGATGCTTGTTTTGAAAAATCCAGGATTTGGTGATGATTTTTTTGAGATGTACAAGTTTGAGATGTTCCAGTTCCTTTTTTTCTTCAAACTAACGGAAATCTTATCTAGTTTTATCCAGTTTTATCTATTGGGTTGATGCATAATTATCCGGACTTCTTTTGCGTGCTTGTATCTTTTTTTTTGAAAGCTTTTGTCATTTCTTTTTTTATATTCGTTATTCTTAGTGAACAAAAGCGTGTCGACAACATATCCATTCGCCATATCATGCTCTACCACTTCGAAAAGGGATGGTCTGCCGCAGAGTCGTTTCGCGATCTCAAAGAACTGGAGAAGCCCCAACGGACTACCACGTCAACGACGCCAAAAATGGCAAACAAATAAGACTACAACGATTTGGATGACTTGATAGACGAGTAAAGCGTGGATTGCCTCCAAAGATCGTTTATTCTTCGCTCGTGGAACGATCGTCTTCCAAGCAAAGGCAACAGTTATTGAGTAGGCGGTGAATATGCTCCAGAATAATCAATAAACAATTTTCTAACTATTTATGTTATTTTTTGTTAAATAAAATCATTTATAAAAGGAGTCCGGATAATTATGCCTCAACCCAATAGTTTCATCTAGTTTCATCGAATCTATCCATTATTTAGATCTTTGTGATAGCTATCCATTATTCTTTGATCTTTAGATCTTTGATTTAGATCTTTGTGATTGTGAAACATTTATGGATAAATGAAATAAAATTACGATAAGATTACGATAGTTTAAAGAAAGGATGATGTTTTAGAGAAGAATAATAAAGAAATCACTGATCTAAGTCCAAATCTTCTTCCAAATTCCATTTTTTGCTCATTTTTCGACTTTTCATCTCCTCCACTCCTCCACTCGTCACTTTTCCCAACAATTTCCCCTTGAACAATTATTTTTTTTTCCTTCTTTGTCCGCTTTTGAAATAAAAAATTGCCACAAAAGTTTATTTTTGAGGCGTTAATGACTAAAGGTTTGTTTTGTTTAGACTTTGCAAGTTCTTGAAGCTTTATATGCTAGTTTTTAGCTTTAGTTTTCCTTTCTCAACCACAAAAAGCTTTAGAAATCGATTTTTAAACAAAAGCCAGGATTTTGGCTTTAACTAAATGATTTGGATCCTCAAAAGTCAGCTCGTCAGCTATCTAGCTCGTCAGCTATCTAGCTCGTCAGCTATCTAGCTCGTCAGCTATCTAGCTCGTCAGCTATCTAGCTCGTCAGCTATCTAGCTCGTCAGCTATCTAGCTCGTCAGCTATCTAGCTCGTCAGCTATCTAGCTCGTCAGCTATCTAGCTCGTCAGCTATCTAGCTCGTCAGCTATCTAGCTCGTCAGCTATCTAGCTCGTCAGCTATCTAGCTCGTCAGCTATCTAGCTCGTCAGCTATCTAGCTCGTCAGCTATCTAGCTCGTCAGCTATCTAGCTCGTCAGCTATCTAGCTCGTCAGCTATCTGGCTCGTCAGCTATCTGGCTCGTCAGCTATCTAGCTCGTCAGCTATCTAGCTCGTCAGCTATCTAGCTCGTCAGCTATCTGGCTCGTCAGCTATCTAGCTCGTCAGCTATCTAGCTCGTCAGCTATCTAGCTCGTCAGCTATCTAGCTCGTCAGCTATCTAGCTCGTCAGCTATCTAGCTCATCAGCTATCTAGCTTGTTAGCTTTAGCTTTAGCTTTTCGTCCTTGTTAAAATTGATTCGAATTATTCTGGATAGGTTTTTTGTTTTAACATTTTTTTCTAGACATTTCTAGGTAAATTTCTAGGAACAGGATTTGTCTCTGATTTGCTCTGAGTTTTTCTTTTGCTTATCCTAGCTCTGGATTACGTTATAGTTATAAGAAGTTATACCGTAAATACTTTAATACTACCCCACCCCCCTCGTACAGTCGCGTAGTCGCAAAAGTTTTTTAGTATTTCATTTTTTTCAAAGCGCCCGTACTTTCAAAAAATGCGTCTTTGGTATCAAAAAATAGCTGAAATTCAGGGTTATTTTTTGATACCTAAACGAGCATTGTAGCATAAACCGGCGTCGAGAAAAACGCGTTCAAAGCTAGACTACGCGATGCTCCGGCCGTCATTATGGGGCTGGGGTACTAAGAGCAGATTCGGAATCCGCATAGTCGAATCTATAAGATGGAGTTGGTCTCATAGCGAAAGATCACGGTAAGTTCATGCCTTTCCCTAGTAGATGCAAACTCTGTGAACGGATCTGAACCAGGATCAAAAAAGTAACAGTGGGATTGAGAGTGCGCACAATTACCTCTACACCATCTGGTTAGCTTTCAGGGAAGAGAAAGAGCTTATATATCCTTGAAGTACGATTTCGCCGAGTAATTTTGCAAGCTTTTTTCTTTGGTCTCTTAGCAAAAGATCACGATGTTCATGCCTTTCCCTAGTAAGCGGCGTGGCGAAATCGTCCGTTCAATTCGGACCATTCCCTTGTGAGAACCTGGACAAAGAGCCTATATATCCTTGAAGTACGATTTCGCCGAGTAACTTTGCAAGCTGTAAGCTGTAAGTAAGCTGTAAGTAAGCTTTTTTCTTTTCAACGTTTTTTTTTTATTTATTATCATTTAAAATACGAATTTATCAAACTTTGAAATTTCGATTTTACTCAAGTACAAAGTTTGAAGTCAAACAAATTTTTGAAAGTGATATTCAGCTAAGTGATGGGTAAATAAACCGGGAAAAGTTCATGAAATGGCTCAAATTTCTAAATTTCTAACAAAATTTTTGCATTTTCAAATAAAACTAACAAAACTTTAGCTGACTTTAGCTGAATTTTTTCATTTTACTTTAAACTTTCGAAATCTCAAAGCCCATTAGCACTTGAGGGGAAAAAAGAATGAGATTGAGCTCGGGAAAGGTTTTTTTCTTTAACAAAACTTCAGTTTTCTTAAAGAGTTTTCTTAAAAGTTCAGTTTTCTTTAAGAAAACTTCCTTATTCGATTCTGAATGTACTTTATGCTCAAATTTGTCAACGCAATCCTTCTGGCGCAACATTATGATGTACTTTGTGCTCTAAACGTGCACCTTTTGGCATGTACCCGATAGTTGGAACTTTGGCTATCGTAACATTAGCAAAAATAAAGAATCTATAAAGAAATCAATGGGAGGTTTGGAGTGAATTACGATAGGATTACGATAGGGTTACGGTAGGATTTCTTTCAATAGGATTACGATAGGGTTACGGTAGGATTACGATAGGGTTACGATAGGGTTACGATAGGGTTACGGTAGGATTACGATAGAGTTACGGTAGGAGTTACGATAGGGTTACGGTAGGATTTCTTTCAATAGGATTACGATAGGGTTACGGTAGGAGTACGATGGGGTTACGATAGGATTACGATAGGGTTACGGTAGGATTACGATAGGGTTACGGTTACGGCAGGGTTACGATAGGATTACGATAGAAGTACAATAGGGTTACGGTAGGGTTACGATAGGATCACGATAGGATTACGGTAGGGTTACGGTAGAATTTCCCTATTTCTATTTCTATTTCTATAAGCTATTTCCCCCATTTCTCTTGATACTCGCCCAATCTGGTTCATTTAACTGTATGCCAGAAAGGATGCGGTTAAAGACGAGAACAAAGTACAGATCAATTGATGAAAACGGTCTATCCGATCTCACTTCTGATCTGATCTCAATTCTTTCTCTTCTCCCTTATATTCCTCCTTTCTTCTCTCGCAAGAAGATATCAAATAGCTTAGTGGTTAGAGCATCTGGCTGCAAAGCAAAAGCAGAAGTAAGGATTCAATCCATTCAAAAAGTAAGGGTCGAGGGTTCAATCCATTCCCGAATAATTTTGTCTTTGTCATTCCTTTGTTCTTTGTCATTTTACTTTGTTAAAGTATTTAATTCGTTCTTTAAACGATAAACTATAAATTCTAACTTCTCATCTCACTTTTCCAGGGTACAAGATGAATTTTTGGTCATCTCTGTTAGTTTTCTTCTCGATTTTCCTTTCTTCATTCACTTTCGGATATCGATTGGATTACGTGATGGTGCCAAGGGGATTTCTGTCGAATCAACAACAACAAGCACTTGGAGAATTGGGGAATTCGGCTGAACGCTTGGAAAAGTTTGTGGCTTTTGAACTTTTCTAACTGTTATACGTATTGAACGAGTTGAATTGAGGAATTGAAACGTATTGAATTTTAACGAGGATGCCAGACTTTCAAAAGATATTAAGCCGTAAATTTGTAGCCGGGGATTCGAATTTTTGAATAAATTTGAGCCATTTGAGAAGTCATAATGGCTCTAGTTTGATCGATCGATCTAGATCTAGATCGATCGATTCAATCGAATGAATAGTTCTAATCGATTCGCCGACCTTGAAAACCCTCGGGTACAAATTTACGGCTTAACTTTTACAAATTAGAGTTTAATCTCTTTGTGCAATTTACAAAGCAAAAGAGAAATCGGGAAAAGTGTTCTTTGTGCGGTTGCGTAATCGCTGTCCATCTGGTAAGCCGGTAAATAAGCTGTCTGGTAAGCTCGGTAAATAAGGCTTTGATTTTAGAATTAATTTGGCTCAATTTGGCTGAATTTGGCTGAATTTGGCTGGATTTGGCTGGATTTGGACTGAATTTGGCTGAATTTGGACTGAATTTGGCTGGATTTGGCTGGATTTGGTTGAATTTGGAATGAATTTGGTTGAATTTGGCTGGATTTGGCTGGATTTGGCTGGATTTGGCTGGATTTGGTTGAATTTGGAATGAATTTGGTTGAATTTGGCTGAATTTGGCTGAATTTGGCTGGATTTGGCTGGATTTGGCTGGATTTGGCTGGATTTGGATTGAATTTGGCTGGATTTGGAATGAATTTGGCTGAATTTGGTTGAATTTGGTTGAATTTGGTTAAATTTTTGTTAAAGAATTGAGTCCAATCAAATGTTAAATCCCTTTAACTAGAAAAAAACTTTAAGACAACGAGCGTTGGGTGAATTTGAGAAAAGGTTAATGTTGTTGTATAAAAGGTTTCTTTTTTTTCGCAAATATTTTCAATAATTTTCTCTTTTTTTTTTCTAAAAAGCACTTTTTCCATATAAAAAAAGCATATAAAAAAGAATATTTTTAAAAATTCCTAACACTGAAACTTCTACGACTATATCTGAGCACAATTTTCATCTTTTATCTTTAAATTTAAATTTTAGGCGCTTCGACCTCGATCGAATGAGAAGAGCTCCGTATGAGCCATTTATGTTAATGGAGAATATTCAGAAACCACGGTAAGGAGAAAAAAGCGAAAACAAAAAAAATGGTGTTGTTTTAATTTAGAGAGATAAAGAGCCAAATTTATAGAGATAAGGAACCAAATTGAGAAAGATAAGGAACCAAATCTAGAGACAAAAGGAACCAAATTTAGAGAGATAAGGAACCAACTTTGTACTTTGTGCTCCTTGTAAACGCACCCCATCATTGAAATCTTCATTTTATTACAGCAATGAGAAAATGAAGAATTCAGTGAATTAGAAAGGGAGCGTTTACAAATGTTTTGACTAGCTTTACACTCTAAAGCATGACCAGCCACCGTACCAAATCAAATTTCGATAGATTTGGTCTTTATTCACATTAACCATTGACCAAATCGGGTAAAGTGACTCGGCTACCGTACCTCGTAGCGATTGTACAGTAATCCGTACCTCGTAGCGATTGTACAGTAATCCAGCACCGATTCAAATAACTAACTGACTATTATTGATAGGAAACGCAAAGCTTTATAAAGATCAAGCCTACGGTATGAGAATTAAGCCGGATTACGGTAGCTCTAGAATGAATAAGTTAAATCTCCAAAATTTACATTGAAATTTTAGATTTGGACGCAAGTGAGCCATTTCTTCCATCTCTTCATCTTTTTTAAACAGCAAGAACAACAAAAAATTCCTGTAGTCTTTAAATTTTTCGGCTTTCGCTTGGCAACTTGTTTTACAGCTTTTTAAAAATAGTGATCTTTAAAAAGTTATAAAGAGTTTCTTGTTTCTCTTATGGTAAACAAAGACAGACAAAAGGTAGACAGACAGACAGACAGACAGACAGACAGACAGACAGACAGACAGACACAGTAATCGTGCCGTTTTAAATGCAAATTGCACTTCAGACTTTTGAATGGAATCTTTTAAAAGTGATAGAGTTTCTTGTTTCTCTTATGGTAAACAAAGATAGACAAAAGACAGACAATGGACAGACAATGGACAGACAGACAGACACAGTAATCCTAGCACTCTAAATGCAAATTGCACTTCAGAGTTTTGAGCGCAACTTTAGAAAGATAAAAGTTCTTTTTCTCTTACGGAAACAAAGACAGACAAAAGGGACAGACAGACAGACAAAAGACAGACAAGGACGACAAACAGACACAGAATCCTAGCGTTTAAATGCAAATTGCCCTTCAAACTTTTGAAGCAATCTTTTAAAAGGATAGAGTTCTTGTTTCTCTTATGGTAAACAAAGAAGACAAAAGAGACTGACGACATGGACGACAGACGACACAGAATCCTAGCACTCTAAATGCAAATTGCACTTCAGAGTTTTGAGCGCAATCTTTAGGAAGTAATAAAAAGCTTTTTTCTCTTACGGTAAACAAAGACAGACAAAAGGCAGACAGACAGACAGACAAAAGACAGACAATGGACAGACAAACAGACACAGTAATCCTAGCGTTTTAAATGCAAATTGCCCTTCAAACTTTTGAATGCAATCTTTTAAAAGTGATAGAGCTTCTTGTTTCTCTTATGGTAAACAAAGACAGACAAAAGACAGACGAAAGACAGACAATGGACAGACAGACAGACACAGTAATCCTAGCATTCTAAATGCAAGTTGCCCTTCAGAGTTTTGAATGCAAATTTGCAACAACAGCACTTTTTGATATTGAATTTGAATTTGTAATTCGCATAAAATTACCCACAAACAATTATAGGAGAATAATTTCTTTTTTTTTTTAATAATTAGGAAAATTAGGGCAAATTTATTTTCAAATTTTCACCTAAATTCAATTTTGTGAAAGAACATTCGATTTTAAATTGAAATTTCAATCGAAATTATTTTCAAAAAGACATTTGACAATGATTTCTTTTGAAGATATTCACTCAAAAGAACTCTTTCAGTACATTCTACTTTCTAGGGTCAATCTCCTTTTTAGGGTCAATTGCTCTTCTTTTTTCTGGTGTGAATTGCCCCGAGAATTTTCAAATCCGGTCCCCTCTGATGACTTTAATGATTAGACAACTCGTTTTTAAACTCTAATACAAACGTCATATGAAACTTTTTTTGATTGATTTATGACTATTTTCATTTTTCCCTCGTCTTCTTTCCTTTTTTTTCAAGTTTTAACGCAAGCTCTTGAGCTTACTTGGCTTCTACAATTGTTTTAAACTTTGTAGCTGCCAAAAGCTTTGTAGCTACCTTTTCCTTCAAACTATTGTAATATTATCTCCAATTTTGTCAATTTTATCAAATCTATTCACTTTTTGTTTGTTTCTGTGAGGTTTCATAAAGGATATCGAAAGATATAAAAAGTTTGATAGATTAGATAAAAATTCGAGACAGATTATGGTCATTTAAAAAAAGGGACACTTTTATTGGATTGTCCAGTTATGAATGCGCGTTTTTTACTATTTTGTAAATTTCTCAAGATAGCGAAATCAAGAAAAAGATATATATAAATATTATTCGAAAGCTGAAGATCTCCTCTACATTTTGATATAAAAAGTTTTTGAATTTGTTCAGCTTTTGGGCAAATTGACTGCACAGAAGAAGAGGTGGCCAAAAAATGGATCAAGTTTTGGCTATCAGGACTCAGAGCCAGCTCTCAGGACTCAGAGCCAGCCGAGGTGCCTTTGGATCAAGTTTTGGCTCCGCTCAAATTGAGTTAACCGTTTGATGTTTGGCTAATAGATATATCAATACAACTTTTTAAAAAATATAACAATTTCAGAGCATCTTTACTTTTCTGGGCGGTTATTTTACACCATAAAACTTGAGGAATAGCTAAGCTGGAATGGGTTTTTTTTTTCGAAAACGACCTCTCCCTTTGTGCAGTCAATTTTCCCAAAAGCTGAACAAATTCAAAAACTTTTTTATTCCAAAATTTAGAGGAGATCTTCAGCTTTCGAATGATATCTAACACTCATATGCATCTGTTCGATATCTCGAGAAATTTACAAAATAGTAAAAACGCGCATTCATAACTGGACAACCCAATAGAAAACGGATTTCATTACAGCTTTCAATTTGCATTCAATTTAGTGTTTTCAAATCCGAAACGACAAGGATTTTTCAATTCGCATACAAAATTCGTTTAACTGTAAATCTTTTCATGATTTTATTTAGTATAAAATGGAATTCACACCCGTCTCGCGTCTTTACAGTAGTGGGGAAAATGCGACTTTTTTTGCGCACTCGGCCCATTAGCGCATCTTTTTTCGCGTTTTAAAGCCCAAAAAAACTAATATTAACCAATTTCTATTCAAAAAGTTGTTTTTCTGGGTAATTTTAGGGCGTAGAATCGAAATTTTAACATATCAGAGCTCATGGAAGTAACTTTTTTGAAAGATAAAACGCGTAGATCAAATTATAGAAAATTGTCGATTTTTCTCTTTGTATAACTCCGTCCGTTTGTTTCCACAAGCTCTGATATGTCAAAATTTGGATTTTACGTCCTAAAATTACCCAGCAAAAACAACTTTTGGGATAGAAATTGGTTAATAGCGCTATTTTCCTAAGCCTAGTCATGGACAAAAGTCTTCACCCATACCGAAATCAACTTTTTAACAAGCTTTAAAAATTGTTTCGAAAGTATTTTGTAGCATTTTTACTCTAGTTTCATATCCCATAACCAAAAGAAATCACAATTTATTTCAAGCAACAAACAACGACTTTAACAAGAAAACCCTCAAAATAGGTGGATAAAAGTCTTTACCCCTAGAACAAAAAGTTAGAAGAAATCGAGGATTTCAATATTTGGTAGGGTCTCCTTTTTGATGAAATTACCGCTTGAATCCTTTTCGGCATCGAGTTGACCAAAACATGTAGAATTTGAGGACCGATCTTTGTCCAGATGTATCGAACGAAGTACGATAGCTCAATCCTACTATTGCATTTTCCCTTCAATTTTGACTTTAAAAACAAATGTTTGATGTTTGATGAACACAAATGTTTGATAACGTTCAAATCCGGGCTGTAGGGAGGAGCAGATATGATCTGGACTCCATTCGATCGAAACCATCCGGGTAAACGAGCTCTATAATCATTGATAAGGCGAAAAACTCGTCCCATTAACAGTTGCGTCTTGTGGCATGGAGCGTTGTCCTGGTACAGCAGTCATCTTTGTCCAATTTTTGTGGTCGCAAATGGAAGAAGATCATTCTCCAAAATTGCCTTGTATCGTTGAACGTCGAAGTTTAAATTGAAAAGAACGAGCGGACCTGGTGAACTTCTGGTAAATGCTCCTAAAAAAACAAAATCAGTAGGCATAAAAATCAAAGTTTCTTACCCCACAACATGATTGCTCCGCCACCAAATTTGACTGTCGGACGAAGGTTTTTGGTGCTATATCGTTGTCGGACGAAGATTTTTGGTGCTATCGTTGTCGGACGAAGGTTTTTGGTGCTATATCGTTGTCGAACGGTTCTCCGGATCAAATGATTGCCATCGGGATTGAAAAGGTTGATCTTCGATTCATCGGTGAAGATGACATTGACCCAGTCGTTGCTCGTCCAACTTTCGTACTTCTTGGCGAAGTCGAATCGGATCTTCCGGTGTTTGGCGATCATCAGGGGCTTCTTGGCGGCCCATCTCGTTATAAGTCCTGTATGAATCAAACATCTGCTCACTGTCTTTCGATTGATATCCTTGTTAAATTGCTGCTTGATCAATTTCCATCGGAAGCATTAAGATTTAGATTTTTTTGTGGGCCAAAATTAGAGCCTTGTCTTCTCTTGTTGTTGTAACGCATGAACGACCTGTTTTAAAACGTCCAAAACGTCGTTTAAAACGCTCGGTGAAGAGTTCCAGTCGTTTTTGCTTTGCAAAGCTTTTTCACCGTCTCGGGGCTGCATTTGAATAAGCTCGCAACATCCTTTACTTTGTCGCTTCTTTTCCTTGCTTCCACAATCTTTTCTTTTGTCGGGAGTGATCAGATAGGCCCCAGGCATCACTAAAATTTTTTTAAAAAATACATTTATTGAAAACCAATAATGTGATACAAACAAAGGGTACATAATAAGACATAAAGGTTAAACACACAATTTTATGGCACTGCGGCCGTTCTCAGCCCTATTTACCCCTATTACCCAAATGTTGTGAAAGAAAAAACCCACTTGGTGGGAAAAAGAAACATTAAATTTTAACAAATTAAAAAAAAATATTGTTATGTGAAAAATGATGAAACAACAGCAAGAAAATAAAAAGTTAAAAAGGGGTAAAGACATTTGAGGTGTTTGAGGGTTTTTTGTTAAAGTCGTTGTTTATTGCTTGAAATAAATTGTTATTTCTTTTGGTTATGGGATATGAAACTAGAGTAAAAATGCTACAAAATACGGGGATGAGACAAATGCGACCTTTTTTTTGCGCACCTGGACATTTGCGCACCTTTTTTTGCTGGAAAAGGCCTTAGGAAAGGTCGTAGAGCTTCAAAAATGTTTTCATAGAAGGGAATCGTATGCGTAGATTCCGAATTTCGACAAATCAGACCTCGCTGACACGTCAAATTTGGGCTAAAAGGCAAAAACTACGCAACTTAACGCTTTTCCGCAGTTTTTGCCTTTTAGCCCAAATTGGACGTGTCAGCGAGGTCTGATTTGTCAAAATTCTGAATCTACGCATACGATTCTCTTATATGGAAATATTTTCGAATGTCCGGGTGCGCAAAAAAAGGTCGCATTTGTCCCACTCCCCTCATTTGTGCTATTCCCTCATTTACAACATTTTCCCATTTTTCTTTCCAACAACAGAATCATTAGTGCGTTTCAAATTTTGGCCTAATACTTGCTGAAACAAAGATTTTATCCAGAAATCTCTTTCTTTTCCACTTTTTTTCTCCAAAATCCACCCCCAGGCCACATTTCAAACCTGTACATATCCCCAGAAATATCCTCCAGCTAATCTAACTCCCCATTTCCTCTCATTCTTTTCACTCATCCACTCAATTGTCACCAAGTGACAGTCCCCCTTTTATCCTTTTCATCTACTATACATTTATCCGTTTTCTAGAGTTTCAACATCTGCCTGTTTTCCTTATCTTTTTAAAGTTATCACTGTGTTTTTCTTTTTTGTTTGCCCTTGGCTTATGTGTTTTTTCAGGTGTGAAATCTCAGCAAAACGTTTCATGTCACTTGCAATTCGAAACGCACGAAAACGCGAATATCTACAGGTGGCTCTTTGACTTTTCAATTTTAATTAACACATTATGCCATTGTTTAATGAAAAACAAGGTGTAAACTAGTTTAATTGGCTCAAAAACAGCTTCATTGGCTCAAAATATGAGTTGAATGTATACAAAACTATTTTAAACTTGATCCTACTCAAGTTATGCGTTGTTTTTCTGTCGTATTAAGTAGAAAATGATTTAAACTAACTTAAACTGATAAAAAAAGTGAATCAGTAGCGAAATATTTCACTCCAATATTAGGAAAGCACCTATTCAGCTTACTTTTTAGGTTTCCTATCGACTTTATTATACAATAACCTAACTATTGTTTTATATTTGATTCCTTTTAGGACGATGAAGAGGCCTATCATGAGCAAGGGATTAAATTCTCGCGAATCGACGATTACGAAAGACATATCAACAGTCAATCCATCTCACCGCCAGTAAACGATTCGGGACTTGGAACGTCGGTGCGTTGACCTTGGCAGAATTATACAAAAATTCTGTTAGAGTTTGAATAACATAATGAAATTAACTCGAATTTCTTTTCCACTCTTTCAATTTTGTTTTCTTTTCAGCTTTGTTCGATCCCTTCACCACCAATTCTTCTCATTCATCAGCCTCATCTATCTCTATCCGCTTTCCTCCCACCGCCATCCGAATTTTGTCGCGTTGTTGGACGTCTTTCGCTCAGCGGATTGCCACGGAAATACGGGGTGAGGGTTTGATTTATTTTTGGTAATGAGAAATGGATTATATTTAAAGAAATGATTACTTATCGTTTCTATGCAGCTTTACTCTAAAATTTTTCGATAAGCGATTCAATCCCAAAGCCTGTATCTAAAGAAAGATAAATAAATAGTAAACAATCTTTTGTTGACTGTAAATTCTTTGCTGACTTGCTTTACACATTTTGTTTAGGTGACTGTGGAAGAGATTAAACGCCGAGTTGGTCCACCAGAATGCCTAAATTCTTCGGTGCTTACTGGAATCCTCAGAAAGTAAGTTTGTTTTTGCACTTTGCAGCTTTAATTGATCACAATTAAGGCTTAAACGCTAATCTACTTTTTAAAATCTACTAGGTAAGGATTCTATTGTTTAGGGCCAAATTGTCGGGCAAGAGTCGATCGCTGAGAGATGAGATGGCTGAACGAGGGATTGATCTCAAGGTGAACCGACTTCTTTATTAAATCAATATCATTTTTTTAGTTGGGTCGCAAGAAGCAAACAACTACGACAGCATTTACAGCTCTTGTGGAAGGTTTGAGAAAGATTTCAGCTTCTAATTTTTCATTTTCTAGAAGAATCGGTGACTTTGGCGCAAGATATGGACGGTGTCACGCAAGAACACTATCCGATCAATCATTTCGCTGCACATTTGCAAGCAAGGTTCGGTTTTTGGTGGAAAATTTGCAGAGAGAAGATTCATTGCCTCTTTTAACATCAAATCATTAAAGCTTAACATAAACAATCCGTTTTTGAACAGCTCTTAAACAAAAGAAGGCAATCTAGTTTTAATGGCTCTATAATATATAACTTTTTTTTTCTAGAGCAATCGCAACTTGTCAATCACCCGAAGAAATCGAGATCTACAAGAGAGACTTGCTTGGATTCATGTGAGTTTATAGATTTGTAAAATTATCTGTAAGATTTGCCCTTTCTCAGGAAAATCTTCTCCTTTGTCGACATCGAGCTTCAGGGATTCGAGTCTCCGCTTTGCGACCTCCAACCACAACCCAATGAAAACACCGAGTTGCAACAGGGATTCGATAACTACAGCTTGGTAAGTTTGCTAGATTTGAATAATTGGAGTTTCGTTTTAGATCATTTTAGATAAAAATTTTTCTGGACTTGTTGAGCTTATCGAGTCCGGCGAAAGATTGATCTAAAATGTTTTATCTAAAATGATCGAAATCTAAAGAATGGCAAAACAGAACCTAGCCATGTTTGGTATCAAAATGAAACCTAAAAGAGCTTGTGAGGGAACTGGGTTTCATGCTCGAAGGAGCTTTGCGGAGTAAAAAAATCGGAGAGCAGGAGAGACTGTCTGAAAATTTTGCCCGGACTCGTTAGGCAGGTCTAATGTGCAAGCTTTTGCCATTAGGACTAACTTTTAACGTTTACTAATTCCCTTTTTTTAGTTGACTCATGGCTTTGGTTCGTTCAACTCTCGCACCTGGATGAGAACGTTTTTGCAGGTACTTGAGTTGATTACCAATTTTCTCTAGTTCTTGCTCAGATTGCTTGCTCAACGATGAATCTGATGGACCCGGTGACGGGACAGTCGAATTCTTTCCCAGCTGCACAAGCCCCAATTCAACTCACTTCTCCACAGCTACAGCAGTATACGCCGCAAATTGCACAGGTTTGGAAATTGGTGTTTTGAATGTATAGAATAGAATAGAACATTTTTGATAATTTTGAATGCTGATTGCCAAACACAATACAATTTGAATTGGCTTAATCTTCCTTTTTTTTCAGCTTCCCCCACTTCCGCCATTGCCTCAATTGTGCGATCCATCTCAGCCGTCATCCTCTTCATCTCCATCGCCATTCTACCTCTCTCCACTAGCTTTCCCACCACCACCTCAATTTCATCACGGAATGTACAATCTCTACCAACCGTCATTTTTGCCTCCACATCTTCTCCCATCAGCCGATGAATTGATTCAATCGAATTGCATCTCTTCTTCGTCTTCAAACGACTTTCAACCATCAATGCCAGCCATCAACGATTGGAGCAAAGTGTTGACCCCGCTCAATTGATTGGATTCATTTGTTTCTTCTGTCCCAAGTTTGTTGTTTTATTTTGTAAAAGACTTATAAGCAATTTGAACTTTTTGAGAGTATCCACATTCCTAAAGTTAGACTCAAGTCTGACCTTTTCCCCCATTTTTGTGTAATTCATTATGTTTACATCTATATTTTGCCCAAAATTTGAAAATGTTTTGTAGTATATTTTTTTGCCGTGAGTGACATTTTATGTAGTTATTAAATTTAGAGTCTGTAAATGTAAATTTAGAGTGTGTTTCTCTTTTAGTCCGCCTCCAAAAAATTTTTCGATTCAATTTTCGGAAACTACCGTAATCCACCCGCCAGTTTTCATCCGATCAGCCCCATTTTGATATGATAAGGGATGAGGGGAATCGCGAGGCTCAATCACGGATACGAAAATTGGGCTGATCGAATGGAAAAAATTACGTTATTTTTTGAAAATTGGCTATTTTTAAAAAGTCGCCTATCAAATCTCCCATCAAATCAAATCAAATCAGAAATGCCATTTTTCGCAAAAATCTTGTCAGGATTTTTCTATTGTTGTTGGAATATTTTGTATTTTGTTTAATAAAGAGAAATTGAGTGAATTTGTAACACGATCAACTATTTATTCGAGAGAAGAAAAATTGGAGAGAAATGGAAAAAATTTGGAAATTTTTCTTTCTGAGGAAGGCTCGGACTCTGCACACACCACCGGCAAAAATAGAGAAATCAATGAAAAGTCGGGAAAAATAAATAGTAAACATTTTTTTTTGAATAAGAGATCAAAAGAATACCCTAAATCTGATATTTTTTTTAGTGTATTTTGATAGTTTTCAGATCAATATTCGATGCTGTCATAGGGGAGATCGTCGGTGGATCGCTTGCCGAATCGCATCCATTTCGCTGATGGGGAACGCTTGCCGAATCTAGAGGGTTTTCTTTTTTGTTATTAAATTCATAGATTCTTGACAAATCGACTATCATGCGCTATTTTTTTTTGCGATTTTTAATCGACTTTTTTTGCGACTATCTTTTAACAATCTTTTTTTCTTTGTTCTGTGCAAAACACAACAATTGATGGGATTTGGGTGTAGTGCGATTGTTATTTGAGTGATCGTTAGAGCTTTTTTTGTGTTTTTAGGTGACTAAGGGTTTTTGGGGAAATGACACACGAAAAACGATCTTTTAGAGGATCTTTTAGAGGGGTTTTCTCGAGTTAAAAAGAGAGAACACGTCTAATAAAGTCTAATCGTGTTATTTTGTGCTTCGAAAGGTGCCTCGAAAGGTTTGTGATTTGTGGAATCGTTTTTTAGAAATGGTTTAATCATGGTTTTGCATTCCGATCATTTCTTTTTCTCTCAGCAATCTCTATCCATTTTCTTTTTTTTTTACCTCATCCATTTCGTGCTCGATCTGGGTCTTTAGAAGTGAAATTGAGAGCTTTTTGATTGTTTTTAGATTAAAGTTTGACTCATTCTGCTGTAAGCTAACCTATTGGACTCTAGCTGAAGCAGGAGCCGACCATAGCCTGATTAGAGGACTCTACAGTAACCCTAGATCGACTAGACGACTCTACAGTAACCCTAGACTGATTAGACGACTCTACAGTAACCCTAGCTTGACTAGACGACTCTACAGTAACCCTAGCTTGACTAGACGACTCTACAGTAACCCTAGCTTGACTAGACGACTCTACAGTAACCCTAGCTTGACTAGACGACTCTACAGTAACCCTAGCTTGACTAGACGACTCTACAGTAACCCTAGCTTGACTAGACGACTCTACAGTAACCCTAGCTTGACTAGACGACTCTACAGTAACCCTAGCGACACCTTGATCACCGTAACATTAACGAGAGATTAAAGACATAAAATCTAGAAAGATCAGGCATACGGTAGAGATTTAGGCCGGATTACGGTAACATGGGGCACCCAAGTCTACGGGTCTACGGTAAACCAAACCAATTTCAGTAATATTACAGAAAAGATTTCAGAAAAGATTCAGTGAATATTGAATAAATGAATATTTCCCCTCACCTCATCCATTTAGCATTTGGTGATCTTTTCCCGAATCGCATCCATTTCGCCGATGGAGATCGCTTGGCCAAATCCTCAAAAAACATTCATTTTTAAAATGCTAATTTCTTCTTAAACTATGCAAATTGTTAATGCTAATTTTAAAACGGCTTAGCTACAGTAAATTGCTGTGCTTTTGCTGGTTTTTGCTGTGCTTTTGCTGGGTTTTTTTTTGATCTTTAAAAGCATTGTGATCGTACTTGATAGTAAATGCTGAAGTCGGTCTGAAATCGATCAAATTCGAGATTTGAATTTGAAAATGCATTCAAGAGAAAACACAAGACAAAGCTTTAAAGCAAAGGATTTTGGTGTACTTTGTGCTGGAAATGAATCCCTTCTAGCGCACTGAATTCTTCATTTTTCTCGATGGAATTCAGTGCGCCAGAAGGAGTTACAGGAAAGCACAAAGTATACAGATTTGATAGTAGTGGGAAGAATTGGCTCTTTCCCTGAATCGTGGTCTTTTGAAAGTTTCGTGGTCTCTTGAAAGTTCCGTGGTCCCTTGAAAGTTCCGTGGTCCCTTGAAAGTTCCGTGGTCCTTTGAAAGTTCCGTGGTCCTTTGAAAGTTCCGTGGGCTTTTAAAAGTTTCCGTGGTCCTTTAAAAGTTCCGTGGTCTTTTGTCAAAAAAGTCCGTTTCGTGCTTTTTCGTTAACGTATTTTATTAAGTTCCACATGCACATTTAATCAGAATTTAAAGAAAAATCGTAAGAACAACAGCAGCCCAGCAAAACAATTATAGCAGACCATGGAACTTTCAAAGGACCACGAAACTTTAAAAAGACCACGGAACTTTCAAGAGACCACGGAACTTTCAAAGGACCACGGAACTTTCAAAGGACCACGGAACTTTCAAGAGACCACGGAACTTTCAAGAGACCACGATTCAGAGAAAGAGCCAATTCTTCCTACTACTATCAAATCTGTGTACTTCCAAAAGACCACGATTCATGGAAAGAACCAAAAAATGATGAATAGCTACTAGATACATTTTGTAGATCAAATAAAGCCTTTTTTAACAACTTTTATAAAATAAACCCCTTTTTTTCGTGTATTTTCTCAGCTACGTCTCAGCTACGTCATCGCTTTTCTTTAGCTAAATTTTCTACAAGTTTTCCCCTCAATTTACAATATAAAACATTCTTTAAGTATGCTTTATTTTATGCTTTATACTGTACTTTTTGCTTTTCTTTTGTAAACGCATCCTTCTAGTGCACTGAATTCTTCATTTTTGGTGAACTTGGTGACGGTGTTGCGAGAAAAATGAGGAATTCAGCGCTAGAAAGGGCTATAAAGCTATAAAAGGGCTACAAAAGAGCTCAATGTCCAGAGAAATGTCGACATCAAAGTCAACATTTGTTTCACCTCAAAATCTTCATTTCTTTTATCGTTTAATTGCTGTGTCCCTTGCTCATAGTCGATGGCCATTAAAGCGCACGATAAACACGCCACCAACAAAACGAGAACTCTCATCGATGGCCACATTTTGATGCTGGGTTACCTAGAAATTCGAAATTTTTAAAAATTCTTTTAAATTCGAGTTATTAGATTGAAAAATGAAAAAAATTGAAAGAAAAAGCTTTTTTTTTTAAAGCTTAAAGAGCTCAATTTGTAGTCAAAAAAAGAAAATTTGAAAGGAATTTTATGCGAAATTTGTAGTCATTTGAAATTTTAAAGAAAAGAAAATCAAGAAATCAAAGAAATCTTTAAGAAAAAAGAGAAAGCTTAGAAAATCGATTAGTAATCGTTTAATTTAAATCATTTAATTGAAATCATTCAATTTAAATCATTTAAATCATTTAAAAGCCTTATCATTTAAACGCTCTTATTCTTTATAGCATTTTCTTTGTTTTTTCTAGCTATTATTAGCTGAGCAAACAGTTCTCTCCAAAAGACCCCACTTTTTTACCGACAACTCTTTCTAATCTTTTAAATTTAGCCAATCTGGATGTCACACTATAATTTGAAAAAAATGAAATCGCTTTTTGAATGATTTTGGGATGATTTTGGATGAAAGGTTTTAGAGTGAGCCGTACACCAAAGTCCAAAAATAAAAATCATCCAAAAAGCGATTTAATGCCTTCAAATTATAGTGTGACATCCAGATTGGCTAAATCTAAAAGATTAGAAAGAGTTGTTGTTGAAAAAAGTGGAGTTGACTTTTTGAACTTTTTGAAAAAGGATGATTGGGGGCTTTTTTTGGGTGAATCTCATTCAAGAAATCCCCAATTTTCACCGAAACTCAATAGCTCTTTTATCCCCCTTCAATCATTTATTCTAAAAGTTCCCAGAGTCGGAAATTTTGCGCAAAATGCTGAAAGCTTTTGGGAAAGCCTTGAATGGGAAAGATTTTTTGGGTTAAATTTTTGCAAAATGGCCATAAAAGATTGCATTTAAGCATCAACGAAAACACAATTTATATACGGAAAGCCCTATATTTGCTACTGGATAGTTCAGTGATTAAGAAGATTTTATATATGTCGTAGCCGTTTACGAAATTCAGCCGCTAACGAATGAGGGTATTTCCGGGCATCGAATCAAAAAGTCATCCACATAAAAAATGTTCATAATACATATATTTTATAATAAATTTTTGAAATTAGCTCATTTAGTTCAGTAGAAAATTTTTTTTGAGCCCCCAAAGTTTAGGTTCAAAAATGGCTATAAAAATTTTTCTACCCAGCCAAAAAACTTGTCTAATAGCTCATTTTGTAGCCAATTTAAAGTAGATTCTTAAAGTAAAGCTACATTAAACATTTGTTTTTCAAAGCTAGGAGAAAGAGGGCGAGGAACGACTTCAGTTGAACTCGGTCGCTGTTTTCACATTTGAGAATTGCCCTGAATTTGTTCCTCGCCCTCTTTCTCCTACTTTCAACGACAAATTGTTTTAGATGGCTTTACTTTAAGAAACTACATCAAATTGGCTACAAAATGAGCTATTAGGCAAGTTTTTTGGCTGAGTGGAAAAATTTTTATAGCCATTTTAGGGGGCATTTTTGAACCTAAACTTTGGGGGCTCAAAAAATTTTTTCTTCTGAACCAAATGAGCTAATTTCAAAAATTTATTATAAAATATATGTATTATGAACATTTTTTATGTGGGTCACTTTTTGATTGGATGCCCGGAAATACCCTCATTCGTTAGCGGCTGAATTTCGTAAACGGCTACGACAAACGGAAAGCCCTATCTCTCTACAAATTTGGTTCCCTATCTCTACAAATTTGGTTCCTTATCTCTCTAAATTTGGTTCCCTATCTTTTATAGCTATTTATAGCTATTTAAAGCAATTTATACCAATTTATAGCAATTTTGAATAGAAAATTTTGTATTACATTTTTTCTTAAAGAAAATTGTCTAAATTGTCTAAATTATCTAAATTTTCTAAATTTTCTTAGTTTTTCAATATTTTCCAATATTGTTTTGTAAAAACAAAATAAAATCCTTTTCTAACCAAAGCTTGACAATAATTACGAAGAAAAGAGAAAGAAATAAACGAAAGAAAGATGGACAAGTCAAGCAATTTTCTCATTTTCTCTATTCAGAAGATTGGTGGGAAAAAAATCAAAAAAAAGCTCTGCTCCAGTTACCATTAAACCAATGGGAAGATTAGAAAAGCTTAAAAAGTTGAGAGTAAATAGTAAATAGTAAATAGAAAGCCAAAAAGTTAAGCTAAAAAAAAGTTGAGAATTTTATGATTTAATTTGATTTGATTTTGATTTTGACTTTTTTCCATTGTAAATGACTTAACTCCCTTTGGAGGCAGGAAGGACAAGGGCGTTGTGGTGTAATGGTTAGCAAGATTGGGCGCTAGGCAGGAGGTCCTGGGTTCAAGTCCCGGCAGTACAGCTGTTTTGGATTTTTGCTAGTTTCAAGAATTCCTTATTTCGCAAGAATTCCTTATTTCCTTATGCTAGAATTCCTTATTTCGCAAGATTTTCGCAAGATTGGATTCGCATTCGATCTGAATTCACAATGATTTGATATCGCTAAAAAATGAAATTCAAGTGCCAGAAAGTGAACGTTTACAGATTTAAAGATACAAAAGATCTAGAAATTCAAAAATGAAAGCTAGCTTTGGAATGAGAAAGCTGGCTTTGGAATGAGAAAAGCTAGCTTTAGAGTGAGAAAGCTGGCTTTGGAGTGAGAAAGAGCTAGCTTTGGAATGAGAAAGCTAGCTTTAGAGTGAGAAAGAGCTAGCTTTGGAGTGAGGAAGAGCTGGCTTTGGAGTGAGAAAGAGCTGGCTTTAGAGTGAGAAGAGCTAGCTTTAGAGTGAGAAAGCTGGCTTTGGAGTGAGAAAGAGCTAGCTTTGGAGTGAGAAAGCTGGCTTTGGAATGAGAAAGCTAGCTTTGGAATGAGGAAGAGCTAGCTTTGGAAGGAGAAAGCTAGCTTTGGAAGGAGAAAGCTAGCTTTGGAATGAGGAAGAGCTGGCTTTGGAATGAGAAAGAGCTAGCTTTGGAGGGAGAAAGCTAGCTTTGGAAGGAGAAAGCTAGCTTTGGAATGAGGAAGAGCTGGCTTTGGAATGAGAAAGCTAGCTTCATCAAATCAAATCAAATCAAATCAAAGCTTTCATTTCAAAGCTGAATATCTTTAATGAATGAAAAACTCCTACAAATGCACACATCATTTTTCTGAATGAATGAAATTGAATGAAACAAATCGGAACGTGTTTTCCGTATCTAAATGAATTCAATTTTAGCGGAAAACTCAAATCGGACAAACAATTTTTACAATTTTAGTTAAAAACTGAAAATCAAATATGAATCATAAAATTCTCAACTTTTTTTAGCTTAACTTTTTGGCTTTCTATTTACTCGCAACTTTTTAAGCTTTTCTAACCCTCCCGCTGGCTTAATGGTAACTGGAGATTGTAATTAGCTCAAGTTTGGGGTCAAACTTGAGCTTGTTTGTCAAATTTTTTAGTGAAATTTGAGAAAAGTCTTGTGCCGAAAACACAATCCCATCATTTCTCGAGTTTTTTTCAAAAAAAAAAAACTAACAATAGTTAATTGCTGATGGTTAAACTGTGAACTCAAGAAAAAACAAAAAAAAAACATACAGAAGTTGAAGGAGACTATTTCAAGCTCCAGCTAGCATTGAACTAAACTTAAGTAGGGCAAATCTAGCTACAATAGTCAACTGGATTACTGTAAAACGAGACGTACGAGACGAGACGTCTCGTGCTGATGGCTGATCGTTGTACGAGACGCGCTCCCGATCCTCACTCGATTGTCGCCAACAAGGCCTTGAATTGGAGGCGATTCGAGTGACACCACCAAGGGGACAAGAGTCGGTGGAAGCCACCATCACCATCAGCCATCAGCACACTTGCCATAGCTTTTGGACCTGGTTCCCTGGACTTCCACCCCATCATCAGCCATCAGCGCATCCACCCCACCCAACAGCCTCAGCACATCCATCCCACCACCCCACCATCAGCCTCAGCACATCCATCCCACCACCCCACCCATCAGCCTCAGCACATCCATCCCACCACCCCACCATCAGCCCCACACCACCCACCACCCACCACGCCCAGCAATCCACCCCACCCCACCATCAGCCATCAGCACATCCATCCCACCACCCCACCATCAGCCACTCTACCCACTCATCCACTACCACATCACACAAAGAGAAGTCTTTCCGAGGTACACTCAAACTTCAATCAATTCATTTTGACATCATTTTTTCGAAAAAAAACAATACTCTTGATTCTGACTAGTTTTTTTTACTAGTATTTTTTATTACTATTCTAGTTTTCAATTTCATTCGCAAAACTACATTGAGACTTATCGTTCGAATAAATTCTACAAGAAATTTGACCCAAAACCAAATCACTACGGAGTACTTTGTGCTCAAATCTGTAAACGCTTTTCTCGTGCACTGAATTCTTCATTTTTTTCTTGAAAATGAAGAATTCAGTACGGCAGAAGGGATCTATTTACGGGTTTAAACACAAAGTACAAAGTACAACGTAGAGCACAAAGTACATTAAATTGGGAATCAATGGCTATTACTGAAAATTCAGCTGAAATAGTAACAAAGCAAAAATTCGTATTCCAAAAAACCCTCAAAAAAAAGTGGCAAAAGAGTGGCAAATTTGTCGCAATCCTTTTATTTGTTTTTTTTTTCACCGCAAGAAACGGGAAAGCAATGAGAATTCGCATGAATCTTCCATTACCCGTTCTCCCTTCTCCATTTTCGAACTGATGTTTGTGATTGATGATTGAGGAATGGAATTGTTGAGGAAATGAATTGGAGATGAATTGGAAATGAAAGTACGAACAGTTTTGAATAGGTATTTTACGAAATATTGACAAGCGACAGCGACAATTGTGAACGATATACATGAACGATATACAATTCAAGTACAAAACTCTAACAGCGCCATCAATTTTGTCCATACAACCTTTGGCTAACGATTGATTATTGTTTTAAACAAAAGCAAAACCTTAATTACCTTTTCGGTAAAGAAAAAAAATGA